GGTTTTCACTGGGAAGAGGCTTGTCAGCTTTCCATTGTGGATGATCTGGGTGGATGAGTCCTCATAGAGCTGCTGGATGATGCTGATGAGCTTCGGAGGAATTCCGTAGTGCTGCATCAGCTTCCAAATCATTTCCCTGTCGACGCTGTCGAAGGCTTTTTCAAAGTCAACGAAGGTCGTATACAGAGGAGACTGCCATTCGATGGACTGCTCGATGATGATGCGCAGAGTGGCGATGTGGTCTGTACACAATCTATCTTGTCTAAATCCTGCCTGCTCTGATCTCAGTCTTTTGTCTAGCGCCTCTTTCAGTCTCTCCAAGATGATTCTAGTCAGCACCTTGCTGGGGATGGACAGCAGCATGATTCCTTGCCAGTTGCCGCACTGGGATAGATCTCCTTTCTTGGGCAGCTTCACTAGGTACCCAAGCTTCCAGTTGGTGGCACTTGCTCCTGTTCCCAAATCTTCTGCAGGAGAGGATGTAGTGTCTCTGCTGCTGCTGCCGCGTCTGTCTTGAGAACTTCCGGCGGGATGCCATCAGGACCTGCTGCCTTGCCGTTCTTCAAGGACTTGATGGCTTCAATGATCTGTGCCTTGGTTGGTGGGTTGGTGTTGACACGTAGGGGCTCCTCTGCTGGAGGTATATCAGGAGGAGCTGGTGGTGGTGGTCGGTTCAGAATCTCCTCAAAGTGCTCTACCCACTGTGCTCTCTGTTCTACATCGCTTGTGATGGTTGTTCCCTGTTTGTCCTTGACTGGCTTACTTAGGTTGAAGCTCTTCCTTGACAAGGCATGTGTGCTTTCATAGAGTCTCTTCATGTTATTCTGACTAGCTGCAGCTTCTGCCTCCTCTGTCAAACCTTGTATGTATTGTCTCTTGTCATGTCTTGCACTTCTTTTCACTTCTCGGTTTGTTTCCCAGTACTCTGCTCTTAAGTCTCCCTTCACTTGTTGGTCCTGACATCTATTAATCTTCTGCTTCAGTTTTCTTCTCCTCTCTATCTTCTCCCATGTTTCTTTCGACATCCACTCCTTCTGCTCCCTCTGCCTCTTCCCCAGTACTTTGGTACAAGCAGTCTTCCAGGTCTTCTGTAATTCAGCTCAGTGGTTCTCTATTGTCTCTTCTACCAGATCTGTCAGCATCTCAAAACTGTTTCTGACTTCACAGTTGAACTCTTCTTTTTTCTTGCCATCTTTCAAAAACTGAATGTTAAATTTATGGTGTGGTCTGCCTGAAGAGTCACAGGAGGATCTCAGCTTGGTCTTCAGTGTTGCCACAAGCTCTGCTCTGACATACAGCAGACTTTGTCTCCACTTGCGGTCAGTGGTGAAGTGGTCGATCTGGTTGTCCGTCTTCCCATTTGGTGATGTCCAAGTGGTCTTGTGGATCTTCCTGTGAGGATAGATGGTGCCACTTATGATTAGGTCATTGAAAGAACAGCAGTCTATAAAAAACTCTCCGTTCTCGTTGCAGGTGCCTATGCCATGTCTGCCCGTGATGAGTTCTCTGTGTGTGTTGTTGTCTCCCACCTTAGCATTCAAGTCGCCCATCACGATCTTCAGGTCTCTTCTTGGAGTCCGGTCAAAAGGGACTGCAAGGAACTGTAAAAGTCTTCTTTTTCTTCTTCATCTGCCGCATTGGTTGGTGCATAGCATTGGATGATGGTTATCTTCCTGCCCTTGGAGTTAAATCTTGCTGACATAAGTCTTGCTGAGAAGGGTTCCCATGCCATCAATGCCCTTGTAGCCTCTGACGCAAGTAGTAGCGCGACTCTTTGGGTGTGGTCATGGTCCGCGTCTTCATGTCCGGAGTAAATGATGGTTTCACCTGAAGACAGTCTGGTCTGGCCACTTCCATTCCATCGAGTCTCATATAGCCGAGAACCGTGATGTTGTATCTTCTCATCTCGCTGGCCACTTGTGAAGACTTGCCACTCTCATACAGGGTTCTGGTGTTCCAGGTCCCTATCCTGGTCTTGGCCTTGGTCGTAAGAAGACTTGTCGCCGAGCTGGCTTCCCGAAGGCTTTCACCAGTCCGCGTCATGGGCCCTGCTGAAGACGAGTCTTCCCGTCCAGGCAGCTGCTGGGATGAAGTTGTTGTTGCAGTTTCTGTTTTTTATGGGATGGAGTTGCTAGCCCCGTGCCCAACCATCCTCCTTTCTCATCCTGGACTTTGGACCAGGCAATAGCAGAGTTATCTGGATGGTAATGGTGCCCAAAGTTAATCCATATTCCATTGTTTTCCAGTACCAGTAAATACAAGATATATTTGCATCTTGGAAATTCTAAAGTGATGATCAAAAATGCGTCTTTATGATCTGTGTATGCATATTTTATATTGAAAAAGCTCTTACTTATCTTTCTCTAAAAAAAAGTGATTGTCACAGGACTTGTTGATATGCATATTCAAAATCGTTTCAATATATCTACTCAACCCTCTGTAAAATAAAGAAGTTCAAAAATCACACAGCTAAGTTAGGAATCTTGTAAACTTTTAGACAACTGCTCTTATTTTACAGAATTATACCATTTCACACACTATGATACTCTTGGAATATGTCCATAATACTTTGGTTTTGTTCTTTGTAATCTGGCTTATGTCAGTTAGTGAGCAACAGAAAACTGATTTTAGCCAGGTAAAATTTCAGTTAGTATAAATACTAGAAAATTAGTGATACCCAGGACCACTCTCAAACTCCCTGAGGATGGTTACGTTCTGAACAATTCCTATTTATTGTCCACATTTATTTTATGTAATAATCAATTGCAGCGAGTTCATTCTTGTGTACTTGAGTAAGAAAGCACATTATGTTAGTATGATAATAATAAGTTGGCAAATAATGATTTATAGCTTAATAAAGGGATTTATTTTGGAGGGAACATACTACACATACAAGAGAGCTGACAAAGGCAATTGTACTGTAGTTGCAGATAAAACACATTACAAAACAGGGGTCTACACCTTACCCAATGACAGATGTTATACCTTATTAACATTAAACAAACATTGAAAAACTGGTTAAAAGTTGCCCTGTTTTCACTACTAACAAAAACTTCTATTATTCTACATACGCTATCATTCCCAACATTTTTATTCCCTTGCTTAAAATCTATGAAGATAACTTTCCCTTCAGACCTTTAGTATTCTCCATAGACTCATTAATACAAAACTGTGCTAAATTCTTAGTCAACAGATGAAACCTCATACTTTAAATAACCACTATTCTCAAAGATTGCAAGATTTTATAAATATAATCAAAAACTTTCAATTAAACCAAGAAGATATTTCAGTGTCTTCGGACATAAAATTTCTCTTTACCTCTATACCTGTCGAACAGACCTTACACCGTTTAAGCGAAAAAGTATAACAAGACAGTCCTGTAATAGACCACTTTCTCAACCTCACAGAATACTATGAAAACAACACTTATTTTACCTATGAAGGTTAGTTTTATAAACAGAATATTGGACTAGCAATGAGATCCCCCATTTCTCCTCTACTCAGTGACCTATACATGTCTGTTCTAGAAGAACTGTTTGGTAATAAATTCACACACATAAAAAACCTGAAATCTAGTTAAGATATTTTGATGGTATTTTTAGTATATGGTGACATGAGAAAGATAATCTATCTAATTTCAATACGTTCTTAAACCACTTAAGACTTAATGCCATAATTTTCATACATGAAGTAGAATCTAACAGCTGTCTTCTATTTTTAGATGTTAATGCGAAAAGAGAAAACAATAAAGTGACCTCATGCTGTTACCCTACCACCACACACCTAAGATCTAATCACCACCTGTCACATAAAATATCCTCCTACTTCAGCTATGCAAACTGTGCTATACCACTTTGTACCCAGAAAGAAAATATTTAAATTGACTGGAATTACTTAAAGAATGTAGCACTATCTAGAGGTTTCAACCCCAATATCATATATAGAGCTTTTATTAAACTTCAAAAATGTAAAAAGCTCTAGCCTTTCCCCTATCTAGAACATAAAGCATAACAAACTAGTTTCATTCCCTTTAGTGCCAAAATTTGCTAATGAGATTACCAGTCTATTTAATAACTTGAGCATTGATGTGAAAACTGTATATAAAAGATCACATAAGTTAACACCTTACTACCTAACTTGAAATAACCCCTACTAAAGGAACAAAAGCAAGGCACATACAGTATCTCATGCAAATGTGAGAAGAAATATATAGGACAAATGCTCTTGAAAATATGGCACAAAGGTCACCAAGGTCACATGCGCAGATGTGAGTTTCAACATGTCATCAATTACACAAAATGCTTTAGGATAAAATTTTTCTTTTACACCAAACCAAAACTGAAAAAGAAAAGAAAATGTTTAGAAACTGTTGAATCATCAAAGTAAGAGATGTTTCACTAAACTGTGATAATGGCCCTAGCAACATCAGCTGTATTTGGCTAAGTTTATTCACTGCTTGTATATTTCACCTTGACCTTTGTCTATAATCCTATCACCTTGTGACATCATTTCTGTTACATTAAATCCTTGTGTCTTTTGTCTCTGTCCTTATATATAAACCGTGTATTGCTTAGCTGGAGATCATACCTAAAGAGGGCAGACCATTGTTCTGTTAAAACATACTATGTTCCCCTAAAATATATCACTGTTATGCTTATAAATCATTGTTTGCCAGCTTATTATCATCGCACATCTGTCTGATCATAAGAAACATATGTAGGATGTACAGACTTTTCAGTGTGTTTGTTTTGCATTTGAAACATTGTTAGTCCCAGTAAATGATAGACTTTTATAATAACTAAAAGTTGACAAAAAATTGATGAAATAGTGTAAGTAATGTTTTTTAATTGTATAAGCTTAAGCAACACCAAATATTTTATTTTATTTGATTTTTAAAATGTTGGCATAAAAATCAGTTAAATCAAATAATTATCATCAATTTAAAGTCTTATTAACATTTGCCTTAGGATTGTGATGAAACAAAAACGACGTTATGAGGTTGGGCTAGAAAAGTTGGCTCATGCTGCTAGCCAGGTATCTCTAATGCAGACTGAACTTACTGAACTCCAACCACAACTGGTAATTGCTAGTCAACAAGTTGATGAGATCATGATTGTGGTAGAAAAAGAATCAGCAGAAGTTGCTGAAGTGGAGCGGGTGGTGAAAGCTGATGAGGCTATTGCAAATGAGCAGGCTGAAGCTGCTCAGGCCATTAAAAATGAATGTGATACTGATTTAGCAGAAGCAGTGCCAATATTAGAAGCTGCTTTGGCAGCACTCAACACATTAACCCCAGCTGTAAGTCTATCTAGAAAAATATTCCTATTCAGTTACTTTGTTATAACACATTCATACTTAACTCTAATATATTATTATATAAAGACTTAATATCATCTAACCATTTGTCAATATTGTTATTGGTATTAAGAATACAATAAATTCTGTATTTTGATAATTTTATATATGTATTTCATCTAAACTCATGGTTTTAAACACTTTTTACTTTTAATTATTATTAATTAGATAGTGATGTTGATATATCGTGCATTTTATTTTTAACACATTGTTACATGTTATTAAACTTAATATATGTTAATGGATCATTTTGTTAATTTCACAAACACTATCATTTTCTGTAATTTTTATGTTTTTACATGTATTTGATCATATCAATACCGGCTTAAGAATTTATGTTGAATACTATCTTTTATCTTAGACTTTATATTCCTTTTAAATTTTTAATTTAATTTTAGGATATTACTATTGTAAAAACTATGAAGAGTCCTCCTGCAGGGGTTAAGCTTGTTATGGAAGCAATTTGTATCCTGAAAGGTATCAAGCCAGACCGTATTCCTGACCCTTCTGGAAGTGGTATGTACTGACAGCAATATATATATTTTTTCTAAGGGATATCTAGTATGACTGCTTTTTTTTTTTAAGTCTTGTAGATATTTTTTATATTTGTAGAATTTTATATCCAGAAATGTATATATGCAGCTATACTAAGAACCTTTTGTAAGTAGTATGTGTTTGTAGCCTAAAGGTTAATCCAGACCATCAGGAATAGTATTAAACCAACATTATCTTGGACTCTTCTAGAAATAGTAGTTTATTTACAGAATTTCTGTCCTGAAAAGAACCAATTTAGAACTTTTTTGAAAAGTATAAGTTTGGCAAACATTTATGGTGTGAAAGATATCAAGCCAACTGATATTCGTGACTTTTGAAAGTGGAAGTATTGCCAAGAGTTACATTCTTAAGGGATATCAATTAAGAATTCTTCTCAAACTGTTCTGAAAATTATTAGTACCTAAAGTAATTTTTGTACTAAAACATCAATGTAAACCTATCTGAAAGTTGTAATTATTTGTAGTATTTGAGATTTTTGAAAATACATTGTAAATCGGTATAACAGTTAGATATTTGAGACCTGGGGCCTAATAGCTTTGATAATAAAGCACTGTTATGTAGTACTATTGTGAGTGAGGATCCTAAATTTGAGCCCCAATATAGACAGACTTCTAAATATCCTGATAATCCTACCTATGAGGGTTATCTAAACTGAACAGAGATAAGTAAAACCAACTATGTAAATGTTCGTGTAGATACAACAAATTTTTCTATTAATTCTGTATATTTTCATTTAAACATTGCACTAATTTTTCACTCATGCCTACTTGGGTAAGTAGACAAATAAGTGTATCCACAGAAACTACTAAATGACCTAAAACAGGGAAAGGGTTAGTGGTCAGGATGAGAGTTAGCTGCTTGGTACTTGAGTCAGGGTAGTTCAGAGAGAACCAAGAAACTACTAAATGACCTAAAACAGGGAAAGGTTTAGTGGTCAGGATGAGAGTTAGCTGCTTGGTACTTGAGTCAGGGTAGTTCAGAGAGAACCAAGAATGCTGGGTTCAGCCCTTAACCATAGCAGATTTTGTCATTTCCTGGTTTTTCAAAATCATGTGAATTATTTACTTTTCATACATCTCATATTATCACTGTGTACATATAACTTCTTATGAAAATCAGAGTGATGATTGGTTATATCAAATAGGCACTATGAAGGGATGGCTCAGATTGTTCATGAAAATGGTATTTTAAATATCTCCTCAATAAATCATCAGAACTTTACAATACTATACAGCAGTGTTCCCTCTAGGCTGTGCAGCTGCACAACAACAAATCAATTGCCAAGCACTTCATTATTCCAGCCACATACATCCTCAGTAATGGTGAGTAATCTCAACACGTTGATGGCCTTAATGACCCTGGCAGTCGATAGGCCTAAAGCCCAAATAACTAACTGGTAGCATTGCCTTGATACTGGTGCACATGAAAAAATTTATTCTGCACATGGATTGAAAAAATTAGAAGGAACATTGCTGTACAGTGTTACCTTTTATAACAATATCTATGTAATGACTGGGTCACAAGTTCTGGAAATGTCGTAAATATCATAGCAAAAAGTTTGAATTTCTTCTTCTTCTTTATTTATTACATGATAACCCAAAAACCAAAACAATGGTGTTAACCAATTTCACTGAGGTGACATAGTTTCAAACAGAATTTCCACTTTTATAAGTATTATTAACTAATAGTAATTAAAAGAAAATTCATAATTCTATTGTAAACGATGTTATCATTACTCCATTCAAGTTAGCTTTGTTACAGAAATTAGGTCTTCCTTTAAAAAACCTACATCCAGGATGAAACAGGAATTTCTATCCAATAATAGATAAACAATAAATATTACAGTTGGAACCTCACTGTATTTAGAACTTAGTTATAAGTACAACATTCTTATGTCTGTTGAAACACTGCATTAAAAAAACAAGCAAACAACTAAAAAAAACTTTTCAAAAAAGGAAGTAAATGTAGGGATGGCTAATATCAGTCCTTCAAAAACAATGCAGAGTTTTTTTTTTTACTTGTATCCTGATTATCTGATGCTTCATTACAACTTAGCAACCTAATCACCCATAAATTTGCAAAATGTATATTGACTACCAACTTCAACTTAACACCATGTAATTTATCATGCTTAATTGAACTAAGATTCTCAGAAGAGGTTAAAAGCAGGCTATCAGTACTTTTCCATGAGATAATTATATATGTTTATTTAAATTTGTCGCAATGCTAAATTCCGGGGTTTGATTTCCTATGGTAGACACAGCAGATATCCCACTGTGGGTTTGTGTTAAAAAGAACAAAAAACTCAAGAAGCAACTTGATTCAATATTTTGATGTGACACTGCTTAATTTTACTTTATTTTATTTATTTCTTATGGCATATAGAATATACCATAAATAATGTAAAATGATGTTTAAAACATCTTGGAAACTAAACATTTTATGTTTTATTTTTAAGATTAATTATTGTGTCTTAAATTTATTTACCATCTAATCTTGTCAGACTTTTGCTTTCATAGGCAAAATGGTAGAAGATTTCTGGGGACCTTCTAAGCGTCTTCTTGGAGATATGAAGTTTTTAGAAAGCTTAACAAACTATGACAAGGTAGGCAAACAAACAATAGATCTATAATAATTTGCATAACTTATGTTTTTTAGGTCACAGCTTTTGATATTTTAGAGTAACAAACGTTTTTAAATATAATTTTACAATTGTGATATAACAAGTTTTAGTAGTGTTTTATAAGCAGTTAGAATTTAGGGAATTCCTTTAGGTTTCTTTTTGTGATCCATACAAAAAGTTCAGTTTGTTTTGTAAAACTTATGGGCAGCTGTTTTGTTTCATTTGTTAGTCCAGATTGCTTTTGTATTAGTTGTTTGATTTAGTGTATGAGTAATTATTTTTATATCTTTTGTGTTATTAACTTACAAAACAATGTTTACAGTTCTTATGTTATTAGTGTAAAGAAAGCATTTTGGTTTATCATTTGTATTGTTTGGGTAACAGAGGGGGTAGGCTGTATAAGACATATTATTTTGTCTGCAAAAAGTAGTAGCTTTTGTATTGGTAGTAAAAATTATGTTTTATTTTATAGGACAACATCCCTGTTAAGTCAGTTAAAACTATTAGAGATAAATACACTTCAAATGCTGACTTTGATCCAGAGAAAATAAAAGCAGCTTCCACTGCTGCAGAGGGATTGTGTAGATGGGTGATAGCTATGGAAGCCTATGACAGGTTAGTGAATACTAGGAAAAGCAGAAATAACAAGTTAGTTAACAGAACTAAAAGAAGCTTTCAATTCTAAATACGAATTGTGAAGATGAGTGATAGCTTATAACAGGTGTTTAAAAATAAATGTATACAATTTCTTTTGCTCTAAACAAATGTTGTGCTGGATTTGTACGATCGTTACTGTTTGGGTAATTGTACCTTCGGCTAATTTTGTTGGTGTGTTGGTTCATTATTTTTACTTCTTTACCCTGTTTATGTTATTTAGTTTGTATATTCCTTTTTTTTACAACTATTCACATCTAATTTTGGAGTAGATTTGAGTTAAAATTTGTTATTGTTAACTGGGTACCTGTTTATTCTCATGTTCTTCAGGGTAGGTTTTACTTCTGTTGCCTTATAGGTTTTTTTGGGTGGACTTTTATGTTTAATATTTAAGGGTCTTTTTATCTTCTGAGTTCCTTTAGTAGTTTTATACTTTGGATGTTGCTTACTGTTTTATATTTTAGATTGAATTTCATAGTTTTGCAAGTTTATTATTTTTACATACTTTGTAAGCTCTACAAATTTCTAAGTTTTGTTAGTTTGTTAGTGTTGAGTACTTTCTCTATATTTATAGTTAAGTGTCTTTTTGACTACACATCCTGACAGTTCCATGGGTTCTACAGGTTCCTTCTGCAGATTTTTGCCTTCAGTTCCACTCCCTCTCTATCACTTCCCAGATCTCCTTCCTTCTTCCTTGGGATCATACCTCATCCAGTCTGTTTGAGACCTGCTATACAAAAGAGTTTTCAAATGGGTGTGCCCACTCAACCAGGATTTTACTCTCATCAATTTGTTGTCTACAAAAACATGGGAGATTGGAGACCCATCATAGATGTGTCCTGGCTGTATACCTATCTTGAGACACCTCATTTCCCCATGGAGTCCTGCCTCTCACTTCAGTGGAATTTTTCCCCCAGAACTTTGGATGACCAAGTTCAACGTGACAGATGCCTATCTTCATATTCCAATTGCGCCAGTGTCACATTATTTTTTTCATTTCATCTAAGAGGGTTCTCTTTTCCAGTTCTGGATGCTGCTATTTGGTCTTTCTTCAGCTCCATATGTGTTTTTTTTAATGGTATGCTCTTTTGCATATCACTTTCACTCACTGGGTCTTCGGACTCACCATTACATGGATTACTGGCTACTGCTCGCCTTTTCCCATGCCCAGTCAGTCATTCGAGAAGCTGCTCAGGTGGGGTTTTTAATCAAATTGGAGAAGCCCTTTATTACCCCCACACAGGATTTTATTCATTTGGGGGTTCTCTTCAATTCCCATCTCAGTCAGGCCCAGCCTTCTCCACTTCGTATTCAGGATATGGAGCAGGCAGTCACGAAAGCCCTACCTTCTCCTTCTCTCCCTGAACAAGAGGTTCTATTTCTATCTCTTTTGGGAATGTGGGCTTCCTTGGTAGCTCATTCCCTTGGGTTGTGGCACATGCATTCCCTTCATTGGATGCTTCTTGACCAATGGAATTTCTCCAATAATCCATTGGATCATCCCATCATCCTCCAACTTGGGATCAGGGCCAACCTTGCTTGGTGGTTCGACAGGGACTTGACCACAGTGGTGATTCTCATTCCTTTGCCTCGTCCCAAGTCTCATCTGTTTACAGATGCTTCCTTGGTGGTTTGGGGGGCTTTCCTCGATTTGTGTTGGTGTTCAGTCGAGGAGGTTACTCTCCATATCGACATCCTGGAATCTTTGGCAGTTCATCAGGTTCTGTATCATTTTCTTCCACTCCTACAAGTGTGGGTGGTTGTGGTTCATTCTGATAATTCCACTGTTATCAGCTATATCACCAAGCAAGGGGGAACCAAGTCCAGATCTCTGTGTTTTCAGACTCTGTACTAGGCCAACAACCATGACATGGCGATTCTGGCATGTCATATTCTCAGAATTATGAATCTTGTGGCCGTTTGCTTATCCCATCCCAATCCCATGAAGTGGACCCTTCGTCCTCAGGTATTTCTGTGGGTGTGTTCTCAACTGGGAACACCACATATATATGCATTTCCCACTCACTGGAATGCCAAACTTCCTTCCTTTTTATCTCCAGTTCCTCACCCCTCAGCTCTGGTGGTCGATGCTTTCTGTCAAGAATGGAAGGGCCTTCACCTATATGCCCATTACCAGTTACACAATAAACATTCAATTTTTGTCCATGTTCTCCTGTTTCACGTCATAATTATACAGCCTTTCTCCACAGAACAGTGCTGTACATCTCCATCTTGTGCCTGCCTATTACATTGTGCCCTATATGTATTACTTTGTTCGTTACTGGGCGAAGAGCATACCTATTCCAGAAATAGTGCTATACTCCACAGTTATACTTTCTTTTGAATACTTGATTGAATACTGTCATGCCTTCATCAGCCTCTCCACCTTTGCAATGTGGGATTCTATCTTTGGGTGAGAAGAGGTAGTATCATTTTTGAAGTTAACATTTTCTTACACTGAAAATGTATTTCCGATAGGAACTTACCTCCTTTCACCCACTTCCCACCGTTCCTTCCTAATAATATGTCAGTGTTTCTGGTTTGTACTAGCCAATTCTCGCCTTGTTGGAGGGAGTTTGTTTACCTGCTGCCACCCTCCGTAAGTTACTTGAGGCTCCTTTTCTTTGTCCCTTGAACTTTGCAAACATTCCAGAGGCATTGGAATCATGGATTCATGTCCCCTGTTTCCATTCTTCCTTTTTGTCGTTGGCCTCTCGACTTTCTTTGGCTCCTACTGGAAGTCATGGTGCTAGTGCTAATCATATGTCTCAATCCTTGGCTTCGTCTCCTCGATCTGTTCGTACCCAAAATAGATTCCATCCTTATCTCAGAGGCTCCTCTGCTCAGGAAGACTGTCAACAGCGACATCAGTGACTACCCTATGACAGTGGGTTCCATGGGAGCATAGTTACAGCATTTACTTGACATCTGGATTTTCTTCACCACAGATCCATGGGTACTTCTGGTTCTTGTATTGCAGTTGGTCATTCATTTCACATCTTCACCTCTATTATCCTCCCAACCACCTCCAACTGATTGCAGAGTGTGGATCTTTGTTCCAGGTTTATGAGGGAGTTGTTGATCAAAGGGATGGTAGAGAAAGTAGATCCCGTTCTTCCGGAGTTTTATTCCCTTTTATTTGTCATGCCCAAGAATACAGGAAATTGGCATCCAATCATTGATTTTTCTCATCTTAACCAATTCTTAGATTTTCCCAGGTTCACAATGGAGTCCTTCCTCAGCCTATGATGGCATTTTTCATCAGGTTTGTGGATGACCAAAGTTGATGTTGCCAATGCCTATCTGCACATTCTCATAGCAAAGTCATTCCGCTGCTATATACATTTCATGCACAAGGGTCAGGTTCTACAGTCCAGAAATCTGCCCTATGTCCTAGCATCTGCACCACATGTTTTCTGCAGTGTCGTATAAGCTTTTTTTAGTCACCTTCATGCTTTGGTCCTCTGTACACACCATTATTTGGACGACTGGCACCATCTCGTCAGTTGGTGGAATTGCACAACCAGATTCTCCTTTCAGAAGCCACCAAGGCTAGATTTCTTATCAGAGCCAAGAAATCCATTCTCATACTGAATCAATACATTGTCCATTTGGGTGTCTTTTTCAACACATTTTTAAGTCAACCAACTCCCATCCAGCTATATGCTAAGGATTGGGCAGTCGGACTCTTACCCATGTCTCATTCCCCAACTGCACAGATGGTTATCTCTCTCTTTTTGGGATATGGCATCCCTCAAATCTCTAATTCTTTTGGGATGAGCACATATGTGATCCCTTCCATTGATGCTGCATGACCAATGGATCATGAACTGTGATCCGCTGGATCATCCAGTCTCCTTATTCAGGAGCAACATTTTAGATCTTGAGTAGTGTTTGAATTGGAACAACACATCATCAGTGTTCCTATACCACCCCCTCATTGTTCATTGGGCAATAGCTCAAGGTCTAGTTCTATTTAAGAGAAAAATTTTCATGTTTCATTGCAACAATTCCATGGTGGTATCTTATAGTTCCAATAAAGGGAGCATGCATTCTAGCTTGTCATGTTCTGTGGGTGATTAATTTAATAGCAGATCATCTGTCTTGGCATGACTGAATGGATGCTACATCGCAATATTTTCTGATGAATTTGCATTCAGTTCAGGACTCTGATGATTGATTCATTTGCCACTCAATGGAACTCTGAACTACAGGCGTTTTGGTCCCTAGTACCTCATCCTCGGGCTTTTGCAATAGATGAATTCAGTCAAGACTGGACAGGATTGCACCTCCATGCCTACCCTCCCCCTCCGATTCATTTGTTACCCAGAGTTTTGGCTATGGTTTGATCCACTCCTTGTTGAGTGCTGTTGGTAGCCATGGATTTGTTGGTCCAACAATGATTTCCTCTTCTTCAGTATCTTCAAGAGTGTCCACCTCTGCCACTTCCTCTTTGGTCATTTCTGTTGAGGCAACCTTAATCCAACATTCTACACCTAGACATTCCAAAGCTCAAATTTCATGCATGGAAGTTATGCAGTACTTTGCACAGTATTGAGGTTTCACTTCTAAAGTGGCCTTGTATTGGTCTCAATCTCTGTGTAGACCCACAATGGTCATTTATCAACAGAAATAGCACACTTATCACCAATGGTGTCTCACGAGGAAATTAAACCCACTTCACCCAAATGTGCCAATCATATCTCGTTTTTTGACCTGGTTCTTTGACAAAGGTCTAGTTCCATCTACTATAGCCTTATGTAAAGCAGCTTTATCAACTACTTTTTGGTATTCTAAACGTCGAAAATTATTTGTGTCCCCATTGCTATCTGGCTTTCTCAAATCCTTTTGTGTCTTTTCTCCCAAAAGGCCTTTTCAATTGCCTAACTGAAATATTAAGGTGGTATAACATGCTTTGTCTCCACGTCTGTTCGAGTCTTGAGCCTCATGTACTATATATCACCTTTCCCTTAAAGTGTATTTTTTGTTGCTGCTGACCTGTGGACATGTGCACAGGACTCTTTATCACTCTACTTTCTACTTATGTCCTGCTATACCCAGATAGGTCCTTCCTTCATAAAACTCTGGCAGCTAGGGAAGGGAATAAATCTCTCTCACAAATTCATTTGTTGGCTATTTCTCACCTCTATGACTGCTCAGACCCTGATTGGTTGTTATGTCCCGTCAGAGCTCTGAGGTGTTATGTGGCTTGCATTAACTCCTTTTGAGGTGCTAGAAGTGGACTTTTTATTCATTGGGATCCTACAGTTTCCCACAATTTATTCCTGATTACCTTGAAGAGGTGGGTTAACAAATTGATCCATATTGCTTTTTTCTGGACTTTCATTACAGGCAAGGAAACTTCTGCAAGTCACATCTCATCAGATTCATCACCTTTCTTTGTCTTTAGCTGCTCGATTGAGTTGCCTCCTGGAGTACATCGTGTGGGCTGGTATGTGGACTTCTCCCAATACTTTTCTCTCACATTGTTCACATGGTCCAATAGTTCTTTTTCAGAGAGTTTTCACTTACCACCTTTGGCCATTTTGACCCCATATGCTAGATAATGGGGAGGGATGAGTATTCTTTTACTTCTCTTGTCTCTCTACTTTCCAGGATCTCTTACCTCTTTTTTCAATGAATCCACCCTATGGCGATTGTTGCCTAGACAGGTGTGCTTTGATCAATCCAATTCCACATTAGCAACCACTATTTCAATATACTTTATACAGGTTGCAATAGGCTCTGTAAAAATGAGGTGTTCCATAAGACCACCTAGGAGCTTACCAGGTGGTATTACTATACTATCCTGGACTGTTACTTATGGACTATCATGAGAAAAGCATAAATGGATCCTGCCCATCCCTGCCAATCATTGAATTGAATAAATTGGGGTGAGTTTGCTTTTAAAAATTTAGAGAACTTCATTCACCTATTGCACTGTTTACAGAGCACTGTTCCTCAGGGGTTTCCAATGTGTATTACCCCACAGATTCTACTAGTGGAGCTAGGGAGTCCTTACCACACCCAGTCCAGTCACTGGGGTGATGGACAGAGGCTTTTCCTCCATAGTGTTAGAGTGAATTCCTCCACTCTTGGAGAAGAGGACATAGTTGGGGGCTCTCCTCCCCTGATCCCAGGATGTTTTTCCCAGATGTTGATAGAAGTGGTACCAGCCTACGCAGGAGCCTACTCATAATACTGGTTAAGATTTGACGCTCTGCTATCTGGTTGGGGTGTGCATGTCCATTCTTTTGAAGTAAATTGCTCAGTACATTATTCATGAAAGGGGTCCACTATATCTTCATAATTATGAATGTGGAGTGGTCCCATCCTGGGTCCTTGGTTGAGCATCTCCTCCTCATAATCCTGGGAGCAAGTGAAATGCTCCTTGCACACTCAGTTGGAGAGTGAGGATGAATGTTCAGAATTCCAGACCAGATGAGTTATGTTGCTTTGGTGAGTAATGCATACATGATTCTGTCACTCTGAGTCTGGGGTGTTGCTTACTTTCTTGCCATGATTCCAACATCCATAATCTATGCAGATGCTTTCTGTATGGATAATCCCATCACCAGCCCTTCCTCCTTCTCAATGTGGGATTCCAGCTATAAGTGTCAGTGGAGGTAAGTATGTTTTGGATGATAACATTTTCCTAAATTGAAAATGTATTTCCAATAATACTTACCTTCGCTGACACTCTCCCGCCCATGCTTCTCACTAAGAGCTGGTGTTAGAGACTGGGATGGAGTCAGTCTCAAAAAAGCAATAACATTATCTGAATGAGGTGCTTATATACAGTAGCAGGATAAAGGGCACATTGACCTAGGGGGAGAGTATCATGAGTATCACTGCCAAGGGTAATTGGGTGAGGTATAAAAGACTGGAGCAAGTGAGAAAAAATTATACCAATGCTTAGAGATGAAACCCTGGAGACCGAGTAATAGATATAAGTGTCAGTGGAGGAATGTATTATTGGAAATACATTTTCAATTTAGGAAAATGTTAATTTCTGGTCTTAGTCTTTCTGTGTTCACCACCAAAAATGGCTTATCAGTATACTTAATAAGAGTCCCTCACTATGTAAACCTTTTGATCATATTATTCCTTACTGCAAGCAGCCAAAGGTCAAATCCATTAAAGACTAACTGAATATAAACTGACCCTTTCTCTATAGCTTTAACTTTTTACTACTGTGCACCCTTATAAATCCAGATCTCTCATTCGAACCCCTCAAGGCATCATTTACCCTAACTCTATTCATTTTTTGTCCTGCTTTCTAAATTACAGCACCTAATTTGCTACTTTTTTACTCTAATAGCTTCATCTTCTCCATAGCTATCTTTAAAATAAACAAGCTCTGCTAGTATAATTTACTGTATCTTTCTGAATCTTCTGAAAATTGCAGTCAAGCCCAAAATTCTCAAACATAACTCAGTCCAGGTACCTATTGCACTCCACTTATTTCTGAAAATAGTTTATATCATTTTGTTTTGAGAGACTGTAACGATAGGTTATATACATATGTAATTTTATCATATATTAATTCATACAAAAAAGAAACCTGTAGTTCTTTGGAATATAATTTTGATCAGAAAATGTTTCTGTTGATAATTTCCTCAATTATAAAACTGAAAGGAAAACTTTTCTTGTTAGAATGATGACTGTTAGTACTGTTTTTCTCATTATATTTATATAGAGTTGCCAAAGTTGTAGCTCCTAAAAAAGAAGCACTTGCCAAGGCTGAGTCAGAACTTGCAGTAGCCATGGAAGCTCTAGAAACAAAACGAGCTTCTTTAAGAGAAGTTCAAGCCAAACTAGCTAACTTACAAGAAACTTTAGAAGCCAACAAACGTAAAAAGATGGGTAGGTATTCTAAATCCATCCCCCCATCACTAGAGTGAAATTATTTTATTTGTTTAAAAAATCAGTCTTTAAAAAATATATATATTCTTGATATGTCAATATGTACAAAAGATAAAACGACTTGCAAAATTCCAATTGAAAATTAATATTCATGATAAACTACCAAAGAAATTGTGAGATAAGAGATAGACTGAAGCATTGGTGAGTTTACATTAAACCTTTCATGACTTAATAAGTAGGTTCCCTTTTTCTAAATATTGAGAAGTACATAACTTAGATCAAGATAGAAAATGAGGATATTCATTTACCTTGTAAAATTTTCTACCCTGTAAAGTTATTAACCACAACAACATGATATATTTTATTTGTAAGGCAATACACACCTTTTCATACAGAAAGCTATTTTCTCTATGCATCTGCCTTAGGGATTTTCATGCTACTAGCCTTTTGTCAACTACCACCTAAACTCACGAGGTTTCTCATGATTTGTGTTACTGCATAATGATGTTATTATGCAGCAAAAGCCCTCTACCAATAAGAGGGCAACACAGCCTCTTTTCACACTAATTTTCTCTATGTTGAAGGAACTTGATTTCTTTTTTTCGTCTTGAAATTATGAACACTTGTTCATGTAATGTCTTTTATTACATGTGTGAGTGACTAATTTCCTCACACAAGTTATGAAATTTTGATTGCTTATGGAGGCACATTTGCTAGGGAAGGGGTGGTGGCCATTGTGTATTAGATAGTGGGTTCTCTTATGCTGCCAGGTACTTCAGCATCAGCTTCTTTATCAGACATTCCTTCCATGCATTTGTGTGGTGAATGAAGAGGACGAATTTTATTGTTCCTTCTCCTGCTTCAGCCCTGGGAACTTCAACTTTCTCGTGTTTTTCTGCCTTGTTTTGCAGGTATGTGCATTATTTTTATTTCCCTGTTTTATTATTTTCCTGTTCCCTACTTCTTAATTCTAATCCTAAATAATTTTGTTTACCATTCCTGGACCACTTCCATTACCATGATATTATGCCTCTTCCTTTTCGTCAATCTGATTCTTATTTCCTTAAATTTTATCATTCTGCATATCCTTTCAAGATTTGTATGTTTGGGGCAGGCATTTTGTGTCAATTTTGCTATCTGATACCCTAATACTTCTATCCTTTCTTTATTCTTTTTACTACATTTCTTCTTTCCCTCTCCCTTCTTCACCTCACACCTGAGGCACTCCACTATGCCCCAGTGCAATTTACAGGTGATTCTTGTTCCCATCTCCACTTTCTACTTTTCCTGTTCACTTGTCTCCTTGTTCCTGAAGGTTGTAGGGTGGAGATATTCTCTTATCTCAAGTTGAATTCTTTCTTCTGTTCTTTGAGCCCTTCACCTAGCTCCTTTCTTTGCCCTGCAATTCGATAATATTCCTTATTTGTTTGAATCACAGGCTGAGGCTGACCATCGTATATCCTCACATTTTAATCATTTATACACTGACCCCAACCTGACCCTCCACCACTTTATCTCCTCTTCTTCCTTCGTTCCCTGTCATGAATTGAGTACCTGAGGTCACACATTCTTTCCACTGTTGATCTTCTTTACATTTCCCTACCCCATTCAACCTTCATCTTGTTTCCTTTTCTCATTCTACTCCAATTTATGCCCCACTTCTCTTCGAGACTATTTTTGTCACCACCTCCAGCAACTCCTCACTCCCTATCAATATCTTATTCACCATGGTGGTGTTTTCAGCTCATTCTCAGCTGAGATTAGCCTCCTTCCATCTGTCTGATATCAATGGACCTTGCTGTCACTGGGATTAGCACCTATCCTACTCGTTCTGCATCTGCAATTTCCAGATTGGTGTACATGACTTCAAGGGGACTTCTTATCCCTTTAGGTCATACTCATATACACCTTGGTTTCCCTTGCACAATCAAAGGGAAGCCTCATATGATTCTTTGATCTCAATGGTTCTCCTGTTTCTTCCTTCATTCTCATCTTTGTATGAGTGGTTGAACTCATTTCCTATCACCATCTGTATTCCATTACCTCCACCCAAACTGGATCTACACCTCTTCACACATGTTTCTCCCTCTGTTTGAAGTATCCCTGACTGTCTATTTTTCATTCAGCACTTGGTCTCAGGGCAAGCCC